CATCTTTTGGAATTAAGATATCATCGAATTAAAAAACTGGTTATGGAATTGGATTAAAATGGGACACCACCAGATTCTATGAGCTAAAAGCCAACAGCCACTCTTTGGTAAAACAGCACGTGAAAGACAAGAACAGATCCTCAATTCTTTTCCTTTATTTTCACTTTCATTTAATGACGGCTCTGCGTCCCTCTGATAGCATCTCACCCGGGTCCGTGACTCCCCCACCTTTAATGCCCACTGAGAGGCGCCCCCAGCCACCACTGGGAATGAGAAGATCTAAGGCCCTGGTTCTCAAAGTGGGGTCCCCACACCAGCAGCATCAGCATCACCTGGGAACTCGCTGAAATGCACATTCTCGGGCCCCACCTCAAACCCACTCAATCCCAAACTGTGAGCCAAGCCTGGCAATTTGTGTTTAACCAGATCTGACTCAGCTCAAGGTTGAGAACAAGGCCATGCTCTAAGGTCACAGTGCTCACAGAAGAGGGGCAGCCCCAGGAGTCCCAGTCACCTCCACCTTCGGAAACATATTAGGGAAAAATCGCTTCCTCGCTTGGAGGCAATGAAGGCAAACTAGGAAATGCTTTTTAATCAGATTTTTAAAAAGTAGCGCAAGAACCATACGCCTCCTCTCCTCTCCTTCTCCTAAACAATGCAATCCTAAAGCCTCGCTGGGCAGAGCCAGGCAGCCCTCCGAAGGCCTGGGGTGGGTGTCCCGGGGTCAGAGACCAAGAGAAAGGAGCAGGCGCCATGCAGGGAAGGGGGTGGGCCCAGAGACCGAGACGCTGCACACAGAGCTTGAGCAGATCAGTAACAGGCTAAGGATCACGGAAGCCAGGAAAAAGAGAAAACTTAAAAACAAGACGAGAAAAAACATTACAATTTTTTTAAAAAAAGAAGATGGAAGAGAACCCATCTACGCATCAAACTGTTAACAACGGTTACCTGTAGAAAGTAAAATGAGAGAGGCCTGGGGTTGAGGAGCTAAGGGATTTTTGCCCTTAATTTTAATTGCTCTATGTGTTTAACTCCTTATGTGTTCTTCTTCCAAAGACTGTGTATTATGTTTTACAGTCAACTTACAAGAGCATCAACAGGGCCAAGTAGAGAAAGCACCCAGGCCAGCCGCCACGTCTGCCACCTCCCCCTGCACCACCCAGTCTGGGTCTCAGCCCGACAACTCCCCACAACACCCTTGCCTCTGGTAACCACAGAATTAAATACATCCCAGCCATTCCAGGCCTGCCAACTGCCCCACAATCTAAGTCTAGCTGGAGGAGAGGCTCCACCGGGGACCCCCAGCTCTCCTGAGGTCAGAGTGGGGGGCCGTGAACACAGGAGTCTTGTCCCCTGTCCCAGCTTCCCACCCATAACCGAAGGAATAGGGAGAAGCCAGTAGTGGTGCTAGAAACCACAGAAGGACACCATCTACTTGCCAGAAATGTAAAGAATTTCTGTTGGAGAGAGTGGAGACAGGTGCAAGTGGCAGGGGAGAATCAGGCATTACATCTGTTTAAATAGATCATGGGAAACTCCAGGAATGCCCCAAAATGAGAAGGGCGGGGCCAGGGAAGAAGGCAGGCTGCAGGGATGCACCGAGACCCACCCATGCCATTTCCAAGGCCCCAGGAGGCCAAGCAGGAAGCCCATGGTGCCCTCACTCCCAGCTCGTGCTTGGCAGCCGACACCAGGCAAGGGTGAGGCGCTCACCCTTGGCTAACACAGGCTGCTGCCCCGCCACACGCAATTGGAGATGAAACTATGCAGCAGAGTGATGAGGCAGCTGCTGTGACTGCACTTGGCCCTGAATTTCTCCTCTGCACTCCAGGCCACACACCGAGGCCGGAGAGCACATGCACCCTTTCCTTCTCCCTGTGCTGGGCCTCTCTCTAACCCTGCGAGGAACTATGTCATCTTTGACTTAAAACACACCAGTTCAGGGCAAGCACAGCCCCTGCAGGAAGATGAGTATACTCAATAAATTTTCTATCCCTCCAAATTCATGTTGAAGCCCCAACCCCCACTGTGACCGTACTTGGAGACAGGGCCTTATGGAGGGAGTTAGGGTTAAACAACGTCGTAAGGGTGGGGCCCTGATCCGGTACAAGCCAGGAAGAGGGCTCTCACCAGGGACCAAATTGCCTGGCACCTTGATCTTGGACTTCCAGCCTCCAGAACTGTGAGGAATAAATATCTGTTGTCTAAGCCCCCCAGTCTATGGTATTTTGTTACAGCAGCCTGGATGGGCTAAGACACTAGGCATGCTCATGAAGAAAAAAGCAAATGTAATCCAACGAACAGCAAAAAAACAAATCAATGAGGGAATATGATGCATTACCCCAGATCACGGAGTAAAAGGAGAGGAAAGGAAAAAAATGAGAGAAAGTTATGAAGTGAAACCAGGTGACCTCAACCACACCTCAGAAGGAATCCCGGGAAGAACAAGACAAGGCAGACACAGTGTGCAAAGAGATCGCAGAAAAATGTCTCCTAAAGCAAAAATATACCTAATCCAAGACAAACAAGCACAGAGAGAAGGAAGTGAGATATACCATGGTGAGGGCTTTGGGGGTTTTTTGTTTGTTTGTTTTCAATGTCAATGATGGGGTGGGAGATATTTCCAAGTCTAAGAAATATCAGGGTATCAACAAAGACACAAGAGGCAGGCTGGACTCAGACTATTCCTCTGCAACATTAAATGAAAAAAAAAAGGCAAAAGACAAGTTGTTATTCCTGTGTGAATAGAAAATAAAAACATTTTCAAATAGGCAAGAATTCAAGTCCCTTATGGGTATTAAACTACAGCTAATATTCCTAACACGAAGAGCTCTGGCAAATCAATCAGAAAAGACATCTCCTCTTACTCTACATCCTCCTACTGTCCGTGCTCTGGCCCGTGTCCATGGCCCTGCTCCCCAGGAACTCCTGAGAGCCCCCATCTGCACTCAGCAGGGACTGGAGCTTAGGGCTCCACAGTCTCCACCGGCCCTGGAGACCTCTAACTTAGTTAGATGTCTCAGCATTTCAAAGGCCTGAGCTCCAAATGGAGCCGAAGTTTCTCCACCTATCCTTTTACATATGCCCCTTTGCAGTTACCGTCATCCCCCACACAGAAGGCTGAACGCCGTCCCGGGCCCCACCTCTCCTCCATCGCACACATCACAACCACGGAGACCTGAGCTCTCTGTCTCGCAGCTCTTGCTCCTTCTCTGCTCTCCGAAGCCGCCTCTGGACCCACCGGGATCATCTGGCCCCGTCACCACACACCCAGCCTCGCGCTACTCAAATGCATTCCCTTGCATTGCATCTGGACCCTCAATGATCTGGTCCCTGCCTCCTCCTGGGGCCACCTCTCGCCTCTCCAAGATGGCCACAATCCTGCAGCCACACGAACCTATGCTGCTCCTAAGACACGCCGAGCTCCCTCGTGGCCCCCTGGCTTTGTGACACATCAGCTGCAACCGCCTGCCTCTGACTTCTTTGTCACTCCGCTCAAGGCCCCTTCTTCCACCACCCCTGTCCTAACCCACCAGGCTAGACGGGGTGCTCTTGCTCCACGCACCCTCCATCAGAGCTCCACCAGACAGCTATTCAGCTGGAGAATGACTCAAGAGCAGAACCGCCCTTCACTTCAGCGTCCCTGGTCCCTGACCCGGTTCCTGGCCAGCGGGAGGTAATGAGTGATGAGCCCACGATGACTGAACGCCTCACAGTATCCTTTTACACTTGTGCTGATCGGGAAGTGGGGCGCCTGGGCTTTCAAAGCCTGGAGTGTCTCTGCAGAGGCAAAGCTTCACTCCCTGAAATGTGACGAGGTGAACATGTGTTAGCACAGCCGCTGAGCGCTTTCTAAGTTGGGGAGTTGTCTACCTTATGTGTCGATGGAAAAGTGGTGTGCACAGACTACTTCCCGTCACGGGGGATGAAATGCCAGATGCTGGCTTTTCTAGGCTCCTTCAGCTGCCCGGACCAGAGTCACCCATGCTGGCTTATGATGCAAGATGGGACAGGGAGGTCTATTTTTGGTGGCAGCGGCAGGCGTTCCCTTTTCAGAATGAACATGCAGTGTGGTTTGGGGCGTTTTCTCCAGCTTCCTGGCCCTGAGTCCGATTCTCAACAACTCAACAACAATGACATGTGCCCTACATTCCTTTAATAAACAAACGAATTTTCTTCCTAACTCAGCCGGAAGCAGCTTCTTGGCTTGCAACTGAGAACTGAATGATGCAATATACAAAATCCCGGAAGTCAAGAATTTCTAAAGTGGTCAGCTACGAACCCAGTTAACACCATGGTTACAAGTGAAGTATGGTTCTGAAGTGATAAGCACAGCTTTCCTGTTTGTCTCAAAAAATGTGTGAATACAGTTCTAGAAGAGGAGCGCCACAATTCACTTGGCAAGGTTGGCATAAGTACAGCTGCCTGAGACGACCATCCTGGGCTGAAGGACACTTACTCCGATACACATCTCTACAGCTCTCTCACTAATGGTCCCACTTGTTGCTCTCAGCAAGTAGCGCCTGGCTTTGCTTTCCATCTAAAGTGCAAGGTGACCTTGCAAATACGTCTACTTTTATACTTCAACTACCACTAACACAGGATCATGTCTCTTCCACCAGTGAGCTCGCCAGCATCTTTCTGTTGACCAGTCTCCGAGTGCTGGATGGGGCTTGATGCTCTAGGGGAAGTGATGACCAGGTTGGGTTCCCGTTGCAGCTTCATATTCAAAGACTTCGGGCAGTTTCAGAGCTAGATCTGCCCCATACTGAGTCCTGTAAAAACGGGTAAACTCTGCGCTGTCCCAAATGCACAAGGAGAACGTGCATGCTCTGATCAGCTCTTTTCTTGTGTCTCTTAGTAGCAGAACAAGATTCTGATCAATTAATCTACATTCATCTCACAAGCTGAGTTCGTGCACAGCCCACCCCCCCACCCCCACCTCCTGGAAGCTGCTGTGGGGCCTCGGCTCCGGGAGGGAAAGAGAAGCCGGGTCTTACCTGCCTGCGCAGCCGTGATGAGGGCCGTGTTCCCCTCGCTGTCCTGCCAGTTGACGTCAACGTGGGGGCACTCTGCTAAGACCACCACGGTATCCACAAAGCCATGGTAGCAGGCGACAATAAGGCCGGTCTAGAAATGAAGAGGGAAGCGGGTCAGAGGGGCAGAGCCCGAGCATCACCACTGCAGATCCCCGGGCACCCACTGCCCTCCCGGGGGGCTGCCCCAGCAGCGGTGAGGACGCGGAGGACCTCGAGGCCCGATTCTTAGCGGCAGTCTCCAGCGAGCCGGCCATCTGCGCCTTCTCAGATGTTCATTGAGCTTGGACTGCGAGTGAGGCGCTGGGCTTGGCAAACACCAGGATCCCCACCCTCATGGGCCTTGCCTTCCAACCAGGGAAACGCACGAGCTATAGACCCAACACAGAAGGAAGTGACGGAGTGTGTCAGAAAGCAGACGAGGGCACGGGAGGTGGTGAGACCAGGGGCGTGTGGCTCAGTCTCACAGCGGGCACTGGAGTTGGGACCACGGGGAAGGAGACAGGAATTTAAAGCGGAACAAGCGCATGTGTGGGTTGAACACATTGTGGTTCCCAGTTCAGTTTAACACTTTTTTGGGGCCTCAGAAATTGTATTCGTTTCCTGCGGCTGCCACAACAAAGTAACACAAAGTCGGTGGCTTCACACAACAGCCAGGCAGTCCCAGCGGGAGGGACCTCATCCCGGTTCCAAGGTTCCAAGCCAATCACCTCTCCCATCCCTTGGGCACAGCGATTGGTCGGGGAGAGGCATGTGACCTAACGGGGCCAATGAGAGACAAGGAGCTTGCGCAGGCGCCCTGTGGGGGCCGCCCAGGCTCAGGGTGGTTAGAAGGGAGGAGGGCGGGAGCTTTGCTCCTGTGGACATTGTGCCCTCGGGGTGGAAGGGAGTGATGCTGCCCAGGAGGCCACCTAAAGCCTGAGGATGGAGCTCACACTGAGGAAGACAGAGTGGAGAGACGGAGAAAGCAGTCCTGGGGACACCGTGTGAGCAGCTGGAGCAAGCTCCACCTGACCTGAATGGTTCTGGATTTTTCAATGATGTGAGCCAATAACCCCTCGCCACACCCATTGTTTTTTGGTTGTTTTGAGGGGGGATGTGGCTTAAGCTAATTTGAATTGGGTTTTGTGCCACTTGCAATGCAGAGGCTCCTAACGTATTCACAAGCCATAGTAACTGGACATCACTAAAAATCCCCTTGGGTGTCAGATGCATGCTTGGGTCTGTGCTGGGCCCTAGCAGGCTTTCCCATCTGCTGCCCCCGAGGTACAGGCTCTGTCCCTTTGGAAATCTGCAGCACACCCCCAAGGGTCTGAAATACAGCTGGGTCTGAGGAATAACAGAACCTCAGCTTACTTTCATCAGTTCAATCAAGTTGGTGGTAGAAGAGAAGAGCGGGGACCCCATCCTGTCATTTGAGATTGCACAGGCAAAACGTCCGGGCATGACCCCCCCCAACACACACACACACACACACACACACACACACACACACAAAGACATTTTTCTTTAAACAAAAATAGGATTATTTGCTATATATTTCACTGAGAAATATATCAGCAACATCTTTTCACATCCATAAAAATACTTCTGCGTCAACATTTCCAGCAGATGTTGGGTATCATAGTCTACATATGGCAGAATCCTAGTTATTTAAGGAGTCCCTACTCTTGGACACTGAGATTGTTCCCTACTTTTCTCTATTATGAGTAGAACCTGCAATGAAAACCCCTAAAGCTAAGGCTTTGTGCATATCATTCCTTATTTCCTCAGGAGACATTCTTAGAAGGAGTATTTCTGGATTAAAGGAAAGAGTTATTTTGAAATCTTTTGACACATATTGCAAACCTGCCCTGCAGAAACATCACAAGAGCATCCACTTTGCCAGTCCTGCCACCCAACCTACATTTAAGGACCAGGGTTAAAAGGAGGAATTTCCATCGGTGGATAACAGAGGGATGCTCTCCAGATCTCCCAAAGTACCAGGCTCTTGATTCAGCTCTCTCTTTAGGGATCTCCCTCACCTCCACTCCTTCCTTCCCAGCCACTGAAGGGTCTGTTCTGGAACCACAGCCCCTTCCCGTTCCTCTCACGCTCCTCTGACCGCTTAAGGTAAGACTTTCTCGATGTGCAGCAGGCCTCTGCTGATAGCAGCCGGGGAAATCTTAGCATAACCTTAGGTCAGAAATGAAGCTTATCAGAAAAAAAAAATAGATTACTAAATTTGAGGGCTCACGGTTAACTGGTATCAGACACAGAAGTAGTAATTCTAGCATTCCCACACAGAGACTTACATTTCTGTTGAAAACAATTACTGTTATCCCCTACCTTCCATGGGTCTGTTCCAAAAGTCTGACATTTCCACGTGTAAAAGTAGTGTTTAACTATAGTATGCGCTCTCTGTTGTAGCTGGAGCAGCCCCCCACAGGAAGGTGGGAGGAGAGGTACAATCCTTGGCAATCTCTGACCGTTGTCTCCCAAGACAAACCAGAACAAAAGATTTGTCACAAAAGCAAATACGGTCCACTTGCTGAGTCGACAGAACACTTGCCAACGCTTCCCTGAAGCTACAGGTAGCTTCTTTCTTAAATTACAAGCAAAGCATTCATGAGAATAAAGTAATATGACTAAGAAAAAAATAAGTCAGCTACCTAAAAGTAGAAACCTCCATTTGCAGCTCAGCTAGAAATTCTAGACCCTCAAAGTCTACACACAGAGCCATGAAGAAAATAAGTTGAGATGTTTCTGTTTAAAAATTGTAAAGGTTTTCACATCAAAAAATATGAATAAACCAAAACCCCATTCCTTGCAGGAAGAAAGGATGATCTAACACCAGGATTCTAATAACATTATTTATTATGTTAACAGATTAAAGGGATGGGGCAGGAGGGAAGCAAGTTGATCATCATCTAAATGGATTAAAGCTCTCAATACACACACAGAAAAACAACCAAAAAAGGCATGGAAAACATATAGAAGGATTACACCAAAATATTAAGAGTAGTATCCTTTGTAGAAAAAAAGGGGAAGAGGGGGTGTGTGGTGGTTAATTTTATGTGTGATAATTTTATGTGTACCCACATAGTTGGTCAAACATTATTCCCGATGTTTCGGTGAGGGTACTTTGGTGAGATTAACATTAAAGCAGTAGATATTGAGTAAAGCAGATAACCCTCCATGCTGTGGGTGGGCCTCATCCAATCAGTTGAAGGCCTGAATAGAAAAAGACTGACCTCCCTCAAGCCAGAAAGATTCTGCCAGCAGACTGCCTTTGGGCTTGAACTATAACTCTTCCCTGGGTCTCTAGCCTGCCAGCCCACCCTGCAAGTTTTGGACTTGCCAGCCTCTACAGTTGCGTTAACCAATTCCTTAAAATAAATCTGTCTGTGTGTCTCTATAGATATCTATAAATATAAACAGTTAGATAGACATATACACACACACGATGAAAAATGCAAAACAAGAAAGCAAACATGATGTTTACATTAATAACATTCTCATTAGAAAATACAGTTTTATAACAACCATTGTAAACAGCTAAATAAAAGAACCATCTGTGAAGAGGGGAGGAGGGGCAGTCAGCGGAAGAAAAGAGAGCTGGCACACAGACAAGGGAAGAGCCTGAGACACAAGAAGCACATCCAAACTCTGCAGCCATCTGTACAAGAATAGATATAGTAATTATCCTGATCGTCCAGGAGAAAAGGGATATTACCCACGTTCAAGAGTGAGAAAAAATTCCATCATTCGTAGCATAATTTTTTAAAGTTCAGAACCAAGAGAGTAAATTCAGTTACTTGAAAATCCATTTCAAAAAACACCTTTCTCCATAATAATAGCACCGAGAGGAAGGGGGAAAAGTTTATGCAGCTTTACGAAAGAATTTAGGAACACTGGTCCTCTAAAGATACGTTTCTGAAAGGTGGCCATGCATTACTGCTAACATGGGCATAATTTGTCGGGTAAAGTGTGTTAGGCATAGTTTGAATAATCTCTTCTATGATTCAGCAACATGACGAGAAAGTAATTTCCAGGACGGGAATTTGATCTACGTTGGTTACTACTGATCCCCAGCGCTGAGAACAATGCAGAGCTGATGTGTATTTGTTCAATAAATGAATGAGGAATAGGATTTTCAGGAATCGGTTTCTTCCCAGATGGTACGTGGACAGCAGGCAATGTCCACCCTCAGCCCGCCGCCACCCCCAGCTTGGCACATACGCCTACGGACATCAACCCTGCACATCGGGAAGGCCAAAATATCCAGCAACTACAATTACAGGAACATTGCCTGAACTTGCAGAATTTAAATAATTCTCACCCAAACTATCACTTTGTGAATGTTGCTTTTGTGTGATATATCTCATAAAAGCTTTGCAGATTTGTGTGACGGGTGTTTTACTCCGTCTGAGAAATGTTTCCCAGTCCCTTGAGGCACGTTTACAACTGGGATGGCTCATTAGGCCAGGGGACCGATGGGAGAAGATCTGCCAAGTCCATAATCGGAGGAGAAGGATTGTTTGTGAGCCTGAAGTCCGTCAGACCAGCATGATAAAAGAGATACTAGGCTGGCCTTCTAGAATCAAAATGTCAACAGTTTTCCTTCATTGACTTTTAAGATGATACAAATTAAAATCAGGGGCCTAAGAAAAGAATATTCCACTGGGCGGTGGAGGTGGGAATCTGGGATAACAATGTTATACCATTTGGTGACAGTGAATACAATGGCACATAGAGGGATGAGGTCCCTGTGACGGACCGGCTTCCTGGGTCAGCCTCACTCGGTGATGTGGGCACACAGACCCTATGAGCCAAGACTGACTTGGACTTTCCATGCTGCGAGTCTTTTGAAATCACCTCCTCACCATCTAATTAATCTTCTCTCCCAACGAGATTCCAAAGGAAGGGGTATTCTATAAATACTTTTTTTTTTTTAAAGATTTTATTTATTTATTTTTTTCCCTCCAAAGCCCCAGTAGATTGTTGTACGTCATAGTTGCACATCCTTCTAGTTGCTGTATGTGGGACGCGGCCTCAGCATGGCCGGAGAAGCAGTGCGTCGGTGCGCGCCCGGGATCCGAACCCAGGCCGCCA